TTAAAGTTGCTTTAAAGTTCTCTTAAACCTGAAGACGTAAAAAGATTGATCTTACCTTCTATAGCATTTAACAAACTAGTAAAGAAGCATGATAATAGAAAGACAAGGCACATAGATTAAAGAAAAGTCAGAATTATGTCTTAAAATGGTCCACAATAAGAGATTATTTTTAAAAATATTCATGGCCCCAGAAGAGTATGAAATGATATCTTTACCATGAATTAAGAGTTCAGAATCCTTATTTAGCTCATAAAGTCTAAAGGCTTCTTCTAACTCCAACTGAGATGACACAGTACATGGGTCTCCTAAAAAATACAAAAATAAAGTTCATTTATTTAAATCTCTGATTGTGATAATTAATAACAAATTCCATAATAGAAAATTAGATATATTTGGCAAGGACAGATTTTTTTTTTTTTAGACAATTCTGTTCTCTTAAGTGGATAACATAACTTCCATTCTATTTGTACAAAATATTACAGAAAGTTCACAAATACCAAATTTAGTATATATAACCCATTTTATTAGTAATATATATTCAAAATGTAGCAAGAAAAAAATATGCATTCAGCCATATTTTAAGCTGCTACTGCTCTGTGACTAGTGGGTGCAGCTAGGAACAGACATTATGCTCTAAGAGGACATGAGAGTGGTTCCCCTGCCACACCATGGTAGCTCAGAAACGGAATCGTTTTGCCAAATTTTCCTGCATGTGACAGCCTGCTCAAAGGTATCCCAGAAAAAAGAAAAGACTAAAGTACTTGAAAGAATAGTCCTGGTTGAGCTACTTTCAAACATAGACACAGAGTTCTGGTAAACACACACACACAGAGTAAGAAACATTTCCTTAGCCAACGAGCCAAAGAAGTGAGTCATTCTTTGCAATTCATAAGCGTCTCAAGGACAATGACATTCACTGAGGAACACGTCACTGGAGCATAGCTAGGGCCTGAGCTGGGTCCCTCTATGCATTTTTTTGCTCATTCCTGTGGTTATGTGAACATCATGACATACTAGACACCACCAACCCTGGCCAAACCTCGGTCCTTCTCACAGAACTCAGACGACTATCTGAGAGAAAAATTCAGGTGTGTTCCTTCCCTTGTCTAAAAGACCAGAGTGCTTCTATTCTTTTCTCTAACTTGGCTCCCAAGTTCCTACTTCCTTTCATTTTCTATGGGCCCTATTTTATTAGTTCTCTTCAGTTCCATTTCTCATTTTCTTTCCTTCTACCAGCTCCTCTCAGGCAAGGACAAGTTTGAGTTTTCCTCTCAAAATCTTTTCCCCACCCCAACTGCCATTCTACTCATTCCCCAGCCATATTTCTGAAGAGTAAACCTTACACTCAAGTTGGTAGGAATAGAGAAGAAAAAAAGGTAGTATTTTTATTTTTTTACTTTATATTTTTCTTTTGTGTGTGTGTGGCTAGCTCAGCCGACCCTGGGGGTAGGGCTGGAGTGGCATGTAGTACTGAGGATAGAACTATGGTTCTTGCTCTGCCTAAGTTTGCCTATGCAGGTGCTTTAGACTGCTGAGCTATCTTGTTGGCCCTTTTCACTTTATATTTTTCAACAGTATTTGTTTAATCATATTTAAAATCTTTTATAATGAAAAGAGTGATCACAACCTGCTTTTATCTGTTATCTTCTACACGTCTCAAAATTCTGCTATCTGGTCTTAATTCAAATACTCCAATAAAACTAGAGTTGAAAAGGTCATGACAACAGCTACTGAAATTGGTACCTTTTCAGCTAGTCTCTAGTTCAGTTACCTCTTCTATACCAAATTGCCACTATTTATAAAAACTTTATGTCTAGGTTTCTAAAATATCATTTTCAGGGATGGGGAGATGGCTCAGTGGAATATGTGCTTCCATGGCAAGCGCAAGGGCCTGAGTTCAATCCCCGGTTCCGCCAAAAAAAATAAATAAATACATAAAAAATAAAATAAAATATAATTTTCAGCTTTTATAACTTTCCACAATAGGTCATGCTGTGTTCCTCAAAGCTGTCTGTACTTTTCACTTTTACTTTCTTTTATTTGGGGGTGGGGGTAACTGGGAATCAAACTCAGGACCCTGCCCTTGCCAGGCAGGCACTATGCCACTAAGCTATATCCCTGGCCCCCCACTTGTACTTTCCTGAATAAACTTGGTTATTGTTTAAAAAACAACAACAACACATCATTCTTGTTATGAGTTCTTCTTTTTAGTGAATGTGATATGTTAACTTGTGGTTTTTTTGTTTTTATTTTTGCTTTGTTTTGGGTTTTTTGGTGTTTTAAGACAGGATCCCTCCATGTAGTAGAGGCTGGCTTCAGACTCAAGCCCAGGTTGGCCTCGAAAAATACTTCTTTTTATTTTGGAAAATTTCAAACATGTTACAACAATCTTGCTTTCTTATATACTGATTAATCCACTTATTCCCCATTACTATATGATTTTGAACAAATCCCTGTAACTCTAGATAAAAATTTCTTATAATCACAATACTATTATTAACCTATAAAAATAAACAATTCTCTATAAAATATCCAGACATACTCATATGCAAAAGAATGAAGCTGAGCCTTTATCTTACACCATAAATAAAATTAACTTAAATGGATCAGACACCTAAATATAAGAACTAAAAATACAAAATTTAGGGGAAAACATACATGGTACTGGATTTGGAAATGATTTATTGGATATAACATCAAAGGCACAATTAATACAGATGAATGTCCATTTTGTATCTGTGTATTCAAAGTAGATGGGATAGATATATAGTTACACTCTCTTAATGAATAGAATGATTTGTTCTAATGGCATTTGTAAATAGGATCTCAAGTCCACATCTTGTACAGCAATTAATCACTAAGAAGAATGTATGCAGTGTTAGTTATTGAAACTATCCTATCGATTTGATTTGAAACTGTCTCATTGCTATCTGTTTATCAATAAAATTATGAAAAAAGGCACAATTAAACTAAAAAAAGTAAATTAATGGGATAACATCAAAATTAAAGCTGTGCATTAAAGCACACTATCACTAGAAGAACACATGGGAAAACATTATGTCGTAAAGTACTGATATCCAGGATGTTCTTTAGAACACAGACAGCTCAACAACAAAAAAAGAACCTGATTTTTTTTTTAACTTTTATTAGTACATAATGTATAATGATTACATTTACTGTAGGGTACATTTACATAACACATTTAAATTCCCTTTCCCACATCCTTTTATTTTTCCAGTCAAATTTTTCCATCAGATTCACTTATCTTATAATTTTTTTTTTTTTTTTTTTTGGCAGAACCAGGGATTGAACCCAGGCCCTTGCTTGCACTTGCTAGGGAAGCACTTATTCCAATGAGCCAACTCCCTGGTCCCTATCTTATAAAATATTGTAAGGTCAATTATCATATATACAGACTGAAAACCAGACCAACAAGAGCCTGATTTTTTAAAATGAACAAAGGATATTTCTCCAAAGAAGATACACAAATGAGCAATAAGCACATACATAGTCTTTAGAAAACTGCAAATCAAAACCACAAGTTAAAGCAGGTATGATGGTGCAGGCCTATAATCTGAGTACTTGAGTGGCTGAGGCAGTAGGACTGCTGTGAGTTCGAGGCCAACCTGGGCTTGGGTCTGAAGCTAGCCTGTACTACGCAGAGGGATCCTGTCTTAAAAAAAAAAAAAAAAAAAAAAAAAAAAAAAAAAAAAAAAAAAAAAAACCCAAACAAAGCAAAATCAAAAACAAAAAACCCCCACAAGTTAACATATCACATTCACTGAAATAGCTATGGTCATGGTTTGTGTCTAGTTGTCCCCCCAAAGCTTCATGCGGTCACTGAGGCAGGCGTCTGGAGTTTGTGATTAATTCATGATCCAATGCTGGGATTATGGGTATGAGTACTACAACCTGCCCTGGGGCGGACAGTCTGAATACCATATAAGGAAGGGAGAGAGGTTTGCTAGCTGCTGTAGCCGCTGCTCCTCCCTTTGCTCTTTGCTGTTTCCCTCTGCCATGTGCCACTCTGCCTTGCAGCCAGCTGAGTATGGACTGAAACCACCACTAACTGTGAGCTAAACATTTCCTTCCTTAAATGTTGGATATTCTGTCCCAGCAACAAGAGAAAAGTAACCGAGATAGCTGTATTATTAAAAAAAAAAAAAAAAAAAAAATCAGAAAACAAGAAATGACAGCATAGCTCAGGTAGTTCA